TGAGGACTAAGATGGAATGCCTCTTTTCCAGTAAAAAGGGTCTCCGGTTCTCTACACACACCATACGAAACACAGCAGTGTTAAGCTGCTATTTTACGCTGGTATTCTGTGAGAGCGTGGTCCTTCCCCGGTCGAGCCGACCCATTCGTGCTACAACTATACCACCAATATAGCTGCAGCATGGCTCTACCAGGTAATTAATCATTAGCATCTACTGTGATTACGAGAAAAACATTGGTTTCAACAAGATTCAGTTTCTCCTCATTTAAAAGCACACTGCTATTTAGGATGGCAATGAATACCTATCATTTTAGTCTTCTGGAGTAGCAAAGTGAATTGCATTTCGATTTTCGAGCCGTGGTAGCTCAGATGGTTAGCGCTGCTGTAAGCTTCACAGTACTCGAACAACCCGGGTTCGATCCCCGCCGGCACCAATGAAATTGTTAATTGCAATTTTAAGTGCTGATTTACCACGTGCTCGGCGGTGAAGACAAACATCGTGAGGAAACCTGCATGTCTGAGAAATAAGAAAAAAAAAATTTCGAAGACATGTGAAGTTCGCTAACACGCATTGGGGCAGCGCGGCGGACATTTCCTTGCCCTAAAACCCTCTCAGAATGAGAGGAGGCCTGCGCCCAGCAGTGGGACGTAAATAGGCTGCAGCTTTACTTTACTTTACTTTTCAATCAAGGACAGATGTGTGTGTTAATGGATCACGGCTGTGTGTTTGCTTATACCCTTAATTGTATTGTAAAAATCCAACATATTGAACAATACTTATAGTGAAACTAATCTAGCTTGTCTGGCGATGTCGTGAAGGAGGTAATACGGTCGTCGATATTTAAGCAGTATGTCAAGAAAGTTAGGTAAAGTTTGGTGTCTAATTGGAAGACATTATAATCACCATTTACGATTACGACATTAACATCAATGGCGAGTACATCACTCACCTTCGATTTGCCGGCGATATTGTCCTTATGGCAGAATCGCTGAATGACCTAAGTACTATGCTCAATGACCTCAATAGTGTCTTCAAACGTATAAGTCTTAAGATAAACGTGCCAAAACAAAGGTCATGTGTAACGTTCTGATCACACCCATGCCGGTAGTTGTTGGGAGCACTACGCTCGGAGTTGTCGATGAGTATGTTTACCTACAATAAATAGTCCAACTAGGAAAGTTCTATTTCGAACAAGTGGTCAATCGACGGATTCAACTCGGCTGGGCGGCGTTCGGGAGATAACGATACATCTTCTCGTCATGTATACCTCAAAACTTGAAAACGAGATTGTACAACCAGTGCGTGTTTCCAGCGATGACTTATGGTCCTACACTCCTGGTTGTATGAGGAAGCTCAAGGTTGCTCAGCGAGCTATGGAGAAGACAATGCTCGAAGTTTCTCTGCGTTATAGACTTAAAAATGAGGATATCCGCAGTAGAACCAGAGTAACCGACATAGCACAATACATTAGTAAACTGAAGTGGGAATGACTCGAAGAACCGACAACCGATGGTGAAGAAAGGTTCTCGGGTGGCAGCCTCGTACCGGAAAGCGAAGTGTAGAGCGTTTCCTCACTGGATGGAGTGACGGCCTATGTTCAGTATGAGTATTATGTCGGCATTAACAAAAATGCAATTATTTAATTTATCGTCATATTATCTTCCATCAAATCTTGTAATGTACTGTTCGATTGCTGTCTACATTTAATGGAGCTTATTGTTAAATAATCACTCAAACTAATAACAGATATGGTAAATGCTTTTTTATGTTAGATGCATAAGATTAAATAGTTGATCGATTACTTAATATTAGGTATTTATTATCTCTATATCTGTCTCTTTCTATAGACACAGCAAAGGGAGAAAAAAACTTTAAGCATACCCTAAATTGACGCAATTTTTTATGAGAGTATAGATAGGGCCGCTATTTATTTATTTATTAAATTAGCCGCATTTCGACCACTAATCGTTTCACAACATAGTCACAACTTAGCTGTTTTTAAGCCGGATGGATAAATGCTTATCCAACTAACTTGTTCTCACAAAGTTCACATTTTCAAATTTTATAGAAAAATTTTATATTTTAAAATTTTATAGAAAAGCCCTTGGTCTATCGCAGACGCGACAATTTCTTCAATTCAATATATATATATATATTTGAGTATGATAATATGAATTCAGTATGTTTATAATTATATGAAATATGGACTATTGTGAAAATATACTCTATCAGTAAATAAGCAACAAAATAGCCAAATTAATAAACGAATATATCGTTTAATCCTATAGTGGCGTCGTAAGAAATTCCACTATCATCATCGTTGATAGTATAATAAAAATCTAAGGTGACCAACCCTCTTGCCAAGCGTGAAAACTATGGTAAAGATGCCCCTTATCCACTCAACCGTCCACGGTGACTATAGTCCCCAAAAACCATTATTGCCTCACCTGTCTAGGCACCAAACGACATCTTTCGGTTTGAAGTTTGAACGCGTACAGCGCAATAGATAGCTGTTATTAATACATTAAAAAATTATAGATGGTACTATATGAAATTTGTCGTCTGTGAAAGTGAATTTTATCTGTATAACAGTAACAAAATTTTTAGGAAAAAAAAGTTAAAATTAAATTTCGCCATTTTTGTTTGTGGAATGTTAACGTATCGATCAAAAATGTGATAACTTTTCTGTTTTTATACGTTATTTCTAATGTTATTGTACATCAAACTAATTGTGAAGATATTTGCTTTAGTAAATATGTATCATTACGACAATTCTAAAACGTTTACATATAATGATTTAGCTCTAAATTTTAAACACTATACGCGATCATCGTTTATTGATTATATGTTGTTTAAAATGTGGTCTAATCAGTTTTTTTTTGTGTTAAATGACTGCCAAATATAAAATAATGATTCACTATTAACAAGTTGATAGCAATTTATAAACGAAATATCTGTTGAGATGTGTCTAGAAATTATTAAAATCTATTTTTTTCATTTATTTACATCGATCACTAATAAAAAACGATGGATGTTTATTTACTTATTTATTTAAATTTATATTGGGTAAACATTATATACTTATGTATATTGAGTATATAAGATGTTATTGATATTGGTGTCATTTTAAAGGAAATATCATGTACTATTATAATATAAAATAATTGTCTCCAGTAAGTATTACACTTTTCTTGTAAAACTCGAAATAAAAAATAAATACGATGTTTTTTTTTGATATTCCCATTTTTAAGCTTTATTTTCAGGCTTTATTTTTAATTTGACTAATTTTCTTTTAACAAAATAAAATTATGAATACTTTGAGTCTTTTGAGAATATTATTTATTTGAATGTAGCTATAGTAGTTTTTCAGTAGTAATCGTTTTTTTTAACTGTCTCGCGCGGTCGTACAAAATAGTGACATTTAATTCGCGGACAGGTCAGGCGAGAATCACTCGCGCAGGCCGGACGGTTGAGTGGTTATGAAGCCTTAGGCGTAGACTTATGAGACATACACATATGTCCAGCTGTGGTCTTGATGGACTGTAATGAACAAATAATTATATCGTTAGATCATTTTTAAAGACGTTGAAAAAAATTAAATACAGTCGAATTCCTCTTTCTTAAGTCTGTTAAAAGTAAAATGTAATGAATATCCTCCCGAGTTTGCTGTAACGCACGCAGGACCCGTGGGCTATGGGTTGAGCTTTCCAGTGTGATTCGTGAGTTGAGTGAGGGTAAATTATGGGGACTACAGGAGTTAAACGCAAGTTTTATAATGCCTTAAAGTATACGATCTACTGCAGTAAACATAATCGGAAAAATATATGATATTTTCCAGGATATATGCTAGTTAGGTAGTTGGTTGCAAACATGATACTACTAATTTGATACGATAGAAAAAAAATCACAAAGATACGTCTAAAATTTCTTTTAACGATTAAAAACCGTACTTTATTGTCACTTTATTCTACAAGCAACATATTAACGTAATAGTGTTATAATTTTAGTTCAATCAATAGACTTTTTAAATCGCATTTTCTTATTTCTAAACATAATACGTACGCATGTGTGCGTAAACGCTTGTGTATTGATATAAAAAATCCCGTAGAATTCCGTAGATGCTATTTCAAAATATCCGTAGATCTGCAGACTTGTTAAAAGTATCGAACATTTTGGTTTTTGTGTAAAATAATTAATACATAAATATTTGTGCACAGTTACCTACTAATTTCCTCGTGAAATAAATTTCATCCAAAATTCAAATAAATGCACCTTAATTATTTAAAAAAAGAATATTTGTCTTTGTTATCTGTCAAATTCAATTTTCCCTCTGAGATATCGATTGTTAAAATTTTCGATTGTCGGTTGTCGGCTAAGTTTCACACTCATGATAAAAAAATTATATCAAGTTTTTAAAAATCTAATTATTTTGAATAGACTGTGAAGTACAAAAAAAAATATTAACATACAAATCAAAATCGGTACGTTTCAAGTCAAATTCCGTAGTTCCGTAAACAATGAAAAAATTCCGTAGATCAACTGAAAAATTCGTAGAGTTGGTAACCCTGCTGAAAATGTCGGCCGAGGCCTGATGCTATTCAGAAGTTGTGTAAATGTTGTGCGTGCGTCATTCGAGGTCACATAGCTCTTGTAGTCCTCTTAATCCTGCAAGCTCAGTCAACTAATTTATGTCCGGAAGTCCAGTAGTTGACAAAGAAAAAGATGCCAACTGCTAACCTAACATTTTCAAGTCGTTGAATATAAATTCAGGCCTTTAAAAAAAGAGCTAGTAAGCTCAGCTCTTTCTAGCATCCTTAATCTAAGATGAATATCTCCTATATCATCTATGGGCTACAGCCTCTTGTGGATTGTGTTCGTGTGGCAACCAAATTCTATAAAAAAAATATGTGGTCCCATCAATCATCATAAACGATTCAGTTTTAAAAAAAGAGAAAAAAGTGTGTAAGTTGTGATTTTTAGTGAGCCATTTTTGTTGCAGAGAGAGTATAATTGACGCGCTAAAACGTAGCACGGATTTGATGTTTGGTGGCAAGCAGGCTGTGGTGTGTGGCTACGGAGAAGTTGGTAAAGGCTGCTGTCAGGCTTTGAAGGCTTTAGGATGTGTGGTGAGTGGTGATCGAGGAGAAAAATTGAAGTGATTTTTTAGCATTTGGTGCTTTATATCGAGCAAATTTAATGTTATTTTATGAATTACAGGTCTACGTCACGGAAATAGATCCGATTTGCGCTTTGCAAGCGGCTATGGATGGATTTAGAGTAGTCAAACTTACCGAGGTAAAAATCATATTAAAAAGTAATATTTTTTTATGGTGCCACTATAGGTATATAAAATGTCACTGGCTATATGCCACAGCATATAGCCAGTGACATTTTAAGTAAAGAAAAAAATGCATGAATCATAATGTAAATGATTTAACTAATATTGACTGTTTGTATGAAAATTGGGAATAAAATGGCTATTATTATTATTTTGGGGTATTTATAAAGTATACTCATCTGTTTGGTCTGAATAATTATATAAAAGGATATAGTAAATAAATATATATAAATGTATATATTAAATATACTTACTAACTAAAATAATATATAAATAAATAAAAGCCCAACCAGATGGAAGCCCTCGGCAGGGGAGACCACGCGACCGAGGGTTAGGGGAAAAGGGAAAGAAACCGGCGGGCGATGCGGGTGGTATACAGGAGCACCGCCTTCTGCATTTGAGCTTGGAGCGGTCCGTCACGGAGTCCCAGTCGCCTCAGATGACCCGAGAAGCTGACTGGGATTAACCCGTTCGCAGAAACGATACTACAGATATAATTTCAGTCGACAGACCCTCGTGAGCCAGGTCCAGATATTTTGTTTTCTTATCTGTTTCGGCTTTCACGAGGTTCTCGTCATACAAAATGGTAATGTCGACCAAAAATATCCTTGACTGTGCTCGGTCCATCAGCACACAATATCAGGCTTATTCGAAAGAATAGTCCTGAATAGTGATGGCACGGTTCCAGTAGAGCCTGGCGAAGCTATTTTCGAGCACGGCTTCCGGCATGTCCTTATATAAGACAGTTTCCGATCCACGAGACCGTATTTCAGGACGAGTCTTAATAACCTGTACCTGTATCGCACAGACAAAACCCTCGGTTTCCCCAAAGAGGTCACCGAAACGTAGCCAATGAAGGGAGGCAACCGTATCTACGAAAGCCTCATGTAGATCCTTGTAGAACCTCCCACGGAACTCCTTCTCCTTCCACACGGTCTCACGGTCGGAAATGCTCTCTACTGCCGGTTCTTGCCATTGCTCGTTGGCTAAGGTTAGAGGGGTACGCTCTTTATCACAAGAAATGACGTCCTTATAGAATGGATCATCCGATCTCGTCGGGAAGTAATTACGGAGCTGCACACTTCGCGATCATGCATGGTGAACGCGCTTAAAAAGCCGCGCCCACCATGCTTCCGCGGCAAGTACAGCCTCATCATCGACGATCTCGGATAGTGCAACCTATGGGACGTCATAACAGTGCGGATTTTTCTATCCAGAGATTTCAGTTCGGTCTGAGTCCATCTGAGTATGCCAAAGGTAAACATGAGGACAGGCATGACCCAATGGTTATATGTATGCCTGTCTCTTATTCACGCTCGACAAAAGGCTGTTAAGCACTTTGGTCGAGCGTGCATAAAACAGATCGCAAACTGATTTTTCATGTCTGCCTCATCAATACCCATATTTTGCGACATACTCTGTGATATCGGTGTGTTTTAGTCTCGAAAAAGGTCCTTATGTTAATGCGCATATGTCTATGCTCTCAAAGTTAACTACCCTAACCCTCTCAACATGAAGGACCGCACACTTATCCGTTCCCAACTCCATTCTAAAGTCTGGCGTCGACTACAGCAGAAATGTGTCGAATCCAAGCGGGTCGCATTTATTCCTAGTGCGTCCATCTCTGAAGAATCGAATCGAATTGTTCACTCATAGCAAATTCTTCATCAGTGTTGATGAAGAATTTGCTTTCATCAGGTGTATGATGTCAAAGTCTCTATTTTCAAGTGAAATGTTTAGATTTAGCGTTTTACTATTCCTATGATTATATCTATTAGCTCAAATGACGATTTTTCAATTTCACTAATGCGATGAATAATAAGATTATTTCTTTTTTTGTATTTTTCGAAACTTGCTATTTTTTTCTCTAATTGTTATTTTCTGCTTTCAGTTCTTTTATTTCAGTTACCAAGGGTATTAATGTTTCCACCATTTTCAATATTATTTCTCTTGTTTGGTTAGCCATTTCGATTTTCATTGTTTCAAAACAATTCTTGAATGAGGTGCATGTTCTCCATGTTTATGTTATAAAGTGAAACGGAACGTAATTAATATGTTGATTCGTTTGGTTAACACTTCTTATCTATCAACTGTTTGATTTGTTCGATTCTTTAGTGCGGTAATATTGGTAGCACTTATCTGGCAAACCCAAATGTCCTTCCGAGTTACAATTTTCTATGGTTATGAGTAGTGATGTATCTACTAACCTCAAATTATATTTATATTCCTTTTTCGATCTTATAATCACTGATGATAGCACTTCTATTACCCAGTTTTCATGTTATAAGAGTACTTCGTTACTTTATTCTCTTAATGTGTATATTATTATATGAAAGTTGTAAGTATTTTCACTTATTTTTCTATAAAAAATGGGAGCAACAATGACGATGTGTCACTTGTTCGCACTGCCTACCGGAAGCATCAAATAGCAGAGACAAGGAACAAAGTGAAATATTTCTTCTACAGGTGATAAGACAAGTAGATATAGTGATAACGGCGACAGGCAATAAGGGTGTCGTCACAAGAGAGCACATGGAGCGAATGAAGAACGGCTGCGTTGTGTGCAACATGGGGCACAGTAACACCGAGGTGGATGTGCACTCATTACGCACGCCAGACCTATTGTGGGAGCGTGTTCGAAGCCAGGTTATTTTAGTTTTTTTTTTAAATCTTAAATATTATTTTATTTTAAAGCGACTTAATTTTTAGTAATTTATGGCTTAGCTTTCCATTGACGTCCGTCGAGTTGGGTGTTCATACGTATTTTTACAGAAAAGTTACACTATTATAAGCACACACACAAAGTTTCAAACGCGTAATTTTTAAGAAAAAATTTATCGATAATCAATTATTCTTGCAATGTTTATGTCTAATGCTACCGTAAAACTGGCGCCATTTTGTAATGTCATTGTCGACGTCAGTAGGGATGTCGATTCTTTCCGAAAAAGGTCGATTTTTAAATAGATTCAAATCGTAAGCTGATGTATCGGTTTACAAAAAATCGATTTCTAAAATATCTATATTTTTTTAATGATTGCATTTATAATGTAAATATAAATCAATTTTATGAAAAACAAAAAAGATACCATGACAAATGATCTCTTATTGAAATTTGTTTAATTTAACAGTACCTATTAGGGCAGATAACAAAAAAAATAGGTTAGGTTCAACTTATGTTAAAGAACCGAATTGATTGACCCCGACTCCACCTGGTACAAGTCTGTCCTACCCCTAGAGTGGTTTTATAGAGCCGGAGGCGCGTAGGGGGAGCAGCCTCCACCTGCTGTAACAAATCCTCGCCGATGCCTGCGATTTGTTACGCTAAGGCGTAGAGACTGCTCTTCCCGCAGCGCCGTAGACGTAGTCTCAAAATAGATACAGAAATCCTTCTGAATCAGTCCCCTTATTTTTTTATTATGAAAGTAATTTTTTTCTCATAAAATGGATTTATATTTACATTATAAATGCAAACATGAAAAAAATATAGATATTTTAGAAATCGATTTTTTGGGAATCGATACATCAGCTTACAATTCGAAACCATTTAAAAAATCGATCTTTTTCGGAAAGAATCGACATCCCTACTGACAATGATAATAAAAAATGGCGTCAGTTTCACGGTAGGAATTGACATAAATATTGCAAAAATATTTGATTTTCAATATATTTTTCTCAATAAGTACGTGTTTCCGCATATTGAAACTTTGTGTGTGTGCTTATAAAATGTAATCTTTCTGTAAAAATACGTATCAACACCAAACTCGACGGACGTCAATGGAAAGTCGGACCTAATTTATTATTATACTTCTCTATTTGAATCGGATTTTGTTCACAATTTCGTGGGTTGTTCACAATTTTTTGCGCGAAGCTCTTATTATTTTATAAATTAAAGTAATCTAAGTTACTCCATATAACATCAGCTCTCTGCCAGTCTGGAACAAACAAAGAAACAGAAAGACAAAAAAAATTTTTTTGTTATACACGTATATGCATATGTACCGTGTATACTTCCATATGCATTTAGTAAAGACCTGTTATTTTGACATTACAAACATACACTTAAATATTATTTATTTGTATAGATTATTAATGATTGAAAACGCGTCTAATACAGTTTATTTATGTATTATTTATTTATTGTTTGTTTCTTCTAGGTGGACCATATAATCTGGCCAAATGGTAAACGTATAGTACTGCTGGCTGAAGGCAGACTTGCCAACTTATGTTGCTCATCTTTACCGTCGTTTGTCGTGTCAGTGACAGCGGCAACACAGGCACTTGCTCTCATTGAGCTGTACAATGCACCACAACATAGGTATAAGGTGGGTAGAATGTGTGCTTTTTCAGTATATAAAAGAGTTTCAACGTTTGGTATTTTAATAGAATCAGGCTTTACTTTGTGGTAATCCGTTATATAGTTAAAATCTGCGTTATAAAATTCCTTGTGTAATGGTGTTGGGAGTAGTGGTGCAGAGATTAGTGGTGACGGGAAAGAGCACACATTGGCGGGAACTGATGACGGGGATAGTGCACGTAATTGAGGGAGAGCGGGAGGTGCTTTTCAAACTAGATAACACCTGAAAAACCTGCAACCATTTTCAAACAAAGAAGTCTACAGACGTGTTGTCACCTCTGAGGACTAAGATGGAATTCCTCACAACGTGTAATAATACTAACTCTCTAAACCTTTCTAATTGGAACACAGCAGCGCAGGCACTGTTATTTGATAGCAGAAATAGGTAAGAGTTATAGATACAGAGATATAGATGTACTGTTTTGTGGTACATAGTTAACTGCTTATATTATTCTTGTATGTACAAATACCGTACTAGATTTAGATTAAAAATTCATCTTCTAGGCGGACGTATACCTTCTACCTAAGAAAATGGACGAATACGTCGCAAGTCTACACCTGCCAACATTCGACGCGCACTTGACAGAGCTAACGGACGAACAAGCGAAGTACTTGGGCCTCAACAAAGTTGGCCCTTTCAAGCCGAACTACTATCGATATTAGCAGAGAAAGTCTCGGGTACGCGAAGCTCACTCGCCGAGACAAATGACAAACATTGGCTGACACTACAGTTCCTTAACGTAGTTGAATTGATGCCTGGGTGTAGATAAATTTGTACTTTAAGACTGCCGAACGCCGCGAAACATTGGATAAATATCGATTACGCTGTCGATTTTAGATTTTACTATCGATTTACTCTGTTGTGATTTTTGATTTCATTGCAACTGACCTAAACGTGTAATAACGAATTACTTTAACTAATCTGTATAATTTGGTTTTAAACATTTGAACCACGATGCTAAAATTATAAAAGTAACTATTCGATCGTTTAGCTACATTAACTACAGTAATGGCTTCAACATGATTTTTGTTCTATAATACAACTAGCATTGACAAGTCGCGTAGCACAAGCTTTAGTGAGCCAAAGTTATTTTTTTAAATATTCAAGCTGGAGGTGATAGCGTTGTTGGGAAACCTCCTAGAGCTAAACTAGAGCAAATGCAGCGGTAGCTATTATTTTTGATTAGAAGTTGTGTAGCTACATAAACGGATTTCTACGGCACATAGGCAAGCAATGTCCTATATTATTATATGGCAACACTTTTTACTGCGGTAAAATAAATATCTAGGCGTTTCTTTACAGGAAAGTCGAGTCGCCGCAGAAGATAGTATTAAATAAGAATCGACGCGTGCAATCGATTACTAAATCACTAAATATATCAGAGACATCGATAGTTAAATCCTATCACTAGTTAAACGCTCACAACATTTGCTCCTTTATATCAAATTTTCTCATGCTTTAAGCAAAAGCCATGGTAGTGATAAACATTTTGTATTTTCCTTGATTGTAAAAAAAGGAAAGGGTTATTTTTATGTTGAATATTTTTTATTTATTACGGATTCAATTTTTATAAAAATGGCAAAGCCTTTTGTGTTTTGCTTTTTATATTATTTCGCGGCAAATTTTCTCAATAGAAAAGATAGCTTAAGCATTACCAACATATCGTTGATAATGTTGCCATATACTAGGGTATTATATTCCACGTAAAATTTTTGTAAGCAAGACTACGTTTGCATTTCGCGTGCATTTTTTCGGTATCTTTAGTTGTGTTTGTGCGAGTGATTTTGGAGTGCGTGTATGTTTTTGTATGTGTATACGTGCGTGTATGTAAGTGTGTGTGTGCGTGTTACGTGTGTGCTGTGCGTTTTCTACTTGTGTCGGCGTCCGTGCCTAAAGCTAATATAATATACATTTAATTATTAATTATCCATTTGTTAAGATTTAATGCATTTCGTATTGTAATTGAATCCTAGAATAATTATTCCACAAATTGTATCTTACCGTAGTTCAATTAATATTTGCATGTAATCTAAAAAGTTTATTGCGATCAAATAATAAAATTAAAAACAGAAACGCATACACAAACAACTTAAAAACCAAATTAGAAGAGTTATTACATTGGAGAAGGTATTCATTTTTTGTATTTACGAAGAGCATTATTATTCCTTGGCTAGCAAAATAATGGCGGATTATAGTTGAGTAAGAAAAATCAATAAAATAACTGTTTATTTTTAAGAAGTATCGAAGTTGGTTTCCTAAGAACCGCATCAAAGAATAAAAAAAGTGCGTAACTATTATAATTCATGTCTAGTTTTTTTGCCAGATATTAGTAAGTTGCTATTTTATGCCTAGATCATTTTATAACTTTAAAATAATGTTCTTTAAAAATCATCATTTCGTCCATGCGCAAGACAATACCGCAGTGTGAAAGTAAGTAGTAAATCCTTGATTTATCTCTTTCTCAACGTAGTGAAAGATATTGTTATGTATGAGCTATCATATGTCATTGTGAGCTGTCAGTTCAGTTCGTTATTTTTTTTGTCTATTAGTACTTTAGTGATCAAGGATAGTTTTATTTAAGGGCAAATATCGTATTAAAATTAGTCGATGTAAACGTTATTTTATTCAAATTACATAGACACACATAGACATTTTAGTAGGTACGCCGGGAAATTTTAAAATTATAGTGTATGATGCAATTATTTACATAAGATTTTATCGAAATTTAGAAATTAAGATAATCACAAGATGGAGTGACGTCTTTACAAGTAATGCAGGAAGTCGATGGATGCAGGTAACTCATGACCGTGCTTTTTGGCATTACTTGGGGGAAGCCTATTTTTGGTACTGGACTAGTAAAGGACTGTATAATGATAATGATGATGACAAACACAAGTTATTGCTACTTTTAATAATGACACTTAGACAAAGAGCTGCAATGCAAACCTATATTACTATGTGATTCAAATTAGAATATGACTGATCTGGCTCCATATTGTGATGTAGCTGTCAATTCAAACCAGTTAGGTAGAGTGAGCAAAACATATATGTATATTTTAAATAATATTTATTTACAAATAATAAATATTATTTCAAATATATATATTACAATAGAACCATGAAAGAAAAAAAAATAACCAGAATCTAGCATTTCAATAACTAATTGAATTAATTATTTTATTTATTTATTCAATTAACTTTTCGGCGAAATTTTGCAGACAGTGAAAATAGAAAAAAAAACTTTTAAATTATTTTAAAACTAACTAACTGGTGCCCTGCGCGTTGCTGCCGCAGAAGAAATAATTGTGGAAATACTGTTTAAAATTTGCAAGAGTTATATTGTTTAATTAGGAATGATAATACAATAATTGGAGTCGAATAATAAATAACTTTCAAATAAACTTGTTGGTACGATAAGCTCGCCACTGTAATTTAATTGTACTATGCCTATGACCTTCGTGCAAGTGTCAGCAATAAGTTGATAAAGTTTTATCCGCTTTACCGCTATCTGATGAACGGTACGGCAGCGCATAAAATACGAACAAACAAACATTGATTTTTATATATTAGATTATGACCAAAAGATTTGGTAATACTTAGACTCAGTTAAATAATATAAAAATGGAAAATTAATTTTCTTTGCAAGCCGTACTTTTCAAGTGACAGTTGACATATCGCGGTCACACTAGGTCATTGACGTTCCTATTCTTATTTGAATCGCATTGCATTAATATTGTTACATCGAATATCTTGTCTTGTTATGTACGAATAAGAAATGCGTTTGCCATAGATTAATATATTAATAATGAAGAGTGTTTAATTTTGCGTGAATCTTAACGTCGCAATTCGTTTGATAACTGGTTGTAGTTTAATTGTTAGCTAAAAAGGATATAAATCACTAAGCTTAGATGTCGTGTTGAAGAAGCATGTTACGTTCTTTTGATTTAAAAAAAAATCGGTTGTCTGTAAAGTCGGTTTACTGACGATAGTGGAACGTGACAACGTCAAGAAAATGTTGCTATAAACAATTGACACCACATTCACTTTTCACTGCACTTCATACTTGACGAAAACATGTAAATGTATTATTGTATAGCAGCTGTCTATGCGGACGCATCGCTCACTCAAGTAGGAGAGAGACAGATGTCGAATGTTGCCGAACGCGGAGGGCGATTGTGCCTCTTTGTCGCTCGTTCCGCGCTCTTGCTTGCACTTCAAACCTTAAATGGAACACCTTAGAGCGAGGTAACGCCGCATGAGTCATGTTTTTTCGTGCGTGCAGCCAGCTTCATCGAATTAGAAGACGTTGTCACGTCAAAAATATCATAGAGCTTATTTATTAACGACTATCCTTGACGGGTTAGGATTTACTAGAATTAGGCAGTATTGTCTATTATAATAACCTCAGATTAACTAAGAAGATAGACAGAGCGCTGCGCGTACATTTCAAGTGATGCCGAAACCATGCTCAACTTCTTGACGCACTCACGCACACCTCTCATTCATTCTTTCTTTATCACCACGTAAATGTTCACTGCTGGACGCACACATATGCACCTAAAACCACTGTTAGTTGCAAATGATTTTAGATGCATATGTGTTTGTGACTATAGTTCTTACAATATGTTGAGCATTGTTTTTGCTTTGGTTGTTGCGTTAATTGAAATGTACGCAGTACATCGTCTTCATTTCTTTGTTGATCTGAGATTATAATTTAAAGGTAGTAAATAATTTGAATTTGTGTTTCGCATCTATCATAATTCATTTGTTACGGTCATGAATTCTCTACTGCTGCTAAATTAAACAATACTCGAAACTGTATTGTTTTAAATGTGATTCAAAGTAAATAGAAGGAATATACTGCTTAACCCCAGATAGAATCAGTGTACTTAATAGCATGTGTATGAAGAAATTGCAAAGCCTTCTGGAACAGCGATCGAACAATATATCTCCATTATTTTTAAGGAAAACACATTTCGAACCACCAAAGAAAGGAGGAAAAAAAGAATATCTTTCTTTCTGATGCCTATCAATTTCATGCCAAAAAGTGAAAAAAAAAATTCAACGTGAATGCTTTATCAGGCTTCATAAGCACTTAACAAAATAATATGCTATGTTACAATGTCTATGGTAAAATTTAATCTTGCCGACATAATTTTACTAACCATGGGAAATGGAACAGTACGTTTTTAAGTTGGAGATATTGTAGTTTTTTTTTTAAAATTGCAGAGTAAAAAGAAGTGCACGCCACATCGAAACAATTAAATTAGCTTAGATAACGTAGTTTTTGAGTGCAGCTTATTGTGCGAATTAATATCTAGTTTCCCACGAGTGACTGAATGACGCGCTGTAATTAAAATACGATGTTAGATGGATTGCAGTGGTGAAAAGGAAAGGTGACAGAGTTCACTTAGCTTTTAGCTGGGATTGTGTATTAGTTAGCTCACATACTTCCAATTAGATTAGTTATGTAGTTTGCAATTGTAGAGAAAATTCCAAAGAAATCTACAGAGCTACAAGTCCACCAAGCTAATAAGACGACACAAAACACATAATTCTTATATTTACGCAAATATTACACCTCAAATAACATTAATTTTATTGAAAAGTAAAATTAGTTTTAATAAAACTAGTTCTCACGGATTATATCACGTATATTAAC